ACAAGGGAAAAACACACACCACTGGTACAGGGAAAGTACCTGCCGCTGCCACCTTCCCTTGCAGGATCAGGCACGCTGTGGCTTCTGACCCAAACTGAGTCAAATCTGGCCCACAGCCTTAAAAGGTTGTGAAACTCAAAAGGAGGGAAAGGAGGATGCGGGTAAAGTAGACAGGAGTGCGTTGGATACAAAGAGGAACTATTTTGAGACTTTGATGGGTTTTGGTTTAGGCCCTGAGTCTGTAATGTGGAACTTGCATTTTGGGTAATTTAGAGTCCACTATGCTGCATCTTTCTTTTAAAACTAGAAAAATAACTCAGGCAACTTTATAGTAACTTGGAAGCTCAAATCCTATTTTCAAAAGTGACTCAGAAGTCTGTATCTTATTTAAAGTCCATGAGACTTAGGCTCCTAAGCCACTTATGTGTTTTTGAGAATTATATTCCTTTTTCACTTGTACAAGAAAGCTGAGCTGGCAAGCAAACTGCCTCTGAACAGGGAGAAGGAAGAAGCAACAAGTACATTCTTCTGCTAAAGAGCCCTTCATCAAACATCTGATCCAGTCACTTACTTTTCACTGTATACCAACAGGTTCAGCACTGGCTCTAAGCACTCTATACACACAGCAGAGGCGATTTTCGAAGCCAGCTTTGGGACACAGTTACACAAACTAATATAATATGTTGTGTGGCTTGGATAAAATGGGATAATTAAATGCAAAAGGCTGAGAGAAGTATACAAATATGCAGGCCTAGGTGTTCTAACAAAGAGTACTTAACTCACCCTCTTCCAAGTGATATCAGAATGGGATTCTCCAATCCAATCAGAACACGGAAAGCTTCATTGAGATTTTGGTACGAAAAATTGTCTGCAGCCTCTCCAAGTACCACACAGTTTGGGTTTCCTTTATCAAGCCGATCAAATTCAGGAACCAGACCTAAGGAGGAAAAAGAAACACAAATCCCATGTGTTTTCGGAACCAACTCAAGTGTGTTATCCAACAGGTCTGGACGCCAGGTCCGGATAACTCTACAATGACCTTTCACTCCTGACTGACTCCCACTAGCAGCTGATTGTTGAGACTTTTCTTCCATTATCCACCATGGAGAAGAAAGAAAGCAAAATGAGCCACAAAATATTTGGGGAAAAGGTTAGCCAACATGCTTTATTCTCCCACCCCTACCTAATGCCCATCTACCTCCTACCTATTCAGTGCAATTTTACCCCAGTATATTTGTACTCAAGGCCCCTGAAAACACAGTTACAACTCTCAATGAGTTCAATGGGGGAGACAGACAAGGAAGATCAGGATTTTGGTGTAAAATATGCTGCATGAGTGAAATTTTGCCATCATTAAGAGCCCTGGGAAATCTCCATCATAGAGAAACTCCATAGGGAGGGGAACAAAGGCTCCAGGACTGTGTGGAGCCAGTAGCTACAAACTCCTGTGCTGGTGATATACAGGGTGACAATCCTTACTCCCTCCCTAGGGCTGAAGGACTGAGATGTGGATTCTGTGTCCCACATAGTACACACGTTCCTCCGGCTTGGTGCAAAGGCAGGAAGAATGAGCTTCACCCTAAGTACAAAGCTATTTCTAGACAGAACGTCCTTCAAGTTAATAAAAATGGTCTCTACCTATTTGGGCATACTCACTGAATCCAAATATTGTGTTGATTTAGTCTTCAGAGAAGATGGCAAATCGTACATATATTCAGTTCTATTTCAGAGCAGAGGCTGAGACCATCTGGTCAACAAATCTAAGACATATCTGTTTGAACTGCTGAGCTTTTAAATACTTCTACTTCCAAATAACGGGTGGGCTACTTCTAAATAACTCTTGCTCCTTGAACAAGAGCTTAGAACAAATCCTCGCATTGTGAAATTGAACTTCTGATGGACTGGATTCATGCATCCCAGTTTCCTTATCCCCTTGCTTGGAGAAAAGATGCCTGGGAGAAGGAAGGGAGGAATACTCATTAGGAAGAGCTATCTTCAAAGCCAGCATCTCAGGATTGGACTGGTCAAGCAGGGGATTGTTTCTTTAATTTGCCTAACACTGATTTATCATGACAGGCCTTGATCTTAAGGAACAAGGTTTCAATAGCTATGTTTTTCTATTGAATCCACCAACGTACAGATCTCAAAGTATTTTAATGGGGTAGCACAACTGCAAATGAGACCTGGATGTACTGATATTCCTCCAGCTACATTATGGAATGGACGTGAAGAGTTTTTTCTGCCGGGAAAACACCAGCTGGAAGTTTTCATCTTCCCACTCTTTTCAACTAAGGTACTATTTTACTTGACCAAAACTGTTTTTTGTGCCACAGTGTACTGTGCTGTCTACCTCTCCTAGAATCCAAGCTTCATGGAGCGCTGTCTCACCATCATGGACGAGGAGATGTGGCCTCAGGTTGCGCTCCTTCAGAATACGGCAGGCTGCTGGTGCTGGGGCAGTGACTTCAGAGACTAAAATGTCAAACCCCAAGTGCTGGAGCTTCTCCACAAATTTTTCTCGAGTTGCCTGAGTTTCGTTGGTGCAGAACCTCAGCTTGAGGCCAGAGGCTTTGAGCCTGTCATGAAAAATGAGCAGTCATTAAAGTAAAGCGGGCAGAGAAGAAGCTGGGAGTGAAAGATTTATCACTGCATAGCCCGTATATAATCAAGGCAGGAAGGAGAGGGAGTAACAACATTTTAAGCACAGGTGCATAAAATTTGGAATATTATTTATATGTAATGTAGTGCAACAAAATTGTGCAGCACTTTAGAAGCACATGGGAAGACAAGGATCTTAGCAGAAAAGCCTGGAAACAAACTGCGGCAATTATAATACAAATGAAGAGCTTCAGTGACTGTAAAGCAGACACAGGCCATCACCGTGGGGTACTTTTAGCCCCAGGTTACATTGACTTCACAGCCCTCAAGCTGTGAGCCATTAATGGTGGAAGGAAATCACAGAGCAGAAGCCTAGTAATGCACGATACCTAAAGACTGCTGTCCCAGTTCAGAAAGTTTTCAGAACTAAACAGGACTGGATGGGGAATGAGTTTGGTTCAGCTCATTTCAGTGGAGGCTTGCAGAGCCCCTTCCCTGGGGGAACACTAGCTAGAAGATGGCAGTGCAAGCAATGCTTGCCTTCCCTTGCAAGTAAATTAGTTTCAAATAAACAAGCCTTCCATGCATCAAAAGAGGTAAAGGTAGCCCTATATCATTTAGTCTTTAGCAAAGAGGAAAGCAGCCATGAACCAAGAGCATTACATAGCCATAATTACAAAGGTTAGCACGCTCTAATCTTGCTTTAGCATTTTAAGTTGGATTTTCACCTTTCCACTTACTGAACATCTGTTCCAATGATCAACACCTTTATAGCTATGGAATTACAATGCACTGGAGTTACCACGTTATATAATAAAGTAATATTGCTCTGGCAAGACAACTGCCTTATGTCACAAAAGTGGCACTCATATCAGCCAACATATGCATGAGTGCTGTAGCATTCACGGTAGAATCTCTACCCCAAGACACCTGTGCTATTATTCTAATATTATAAAAGCCTAAATCTGTCTGTCTGTCTGTCTGTCTGTCTATAACACTTTATTCACACTCTGATTGGCTGTCTCAGCAGCCCATCATTCTTGATGGGCAACTGGCTAGTTTAGAATAATAAAAGCCTAAAATAACAAGGATGGAAGGAACTTCAGGAGTTCATCATTTGTTGGGTTTCCGTGAGGGTACAACTCTGTAAAAAGCAGGTCACTTCAATTAACTCTTTAATCTTTCTAAATATGTGTGTGTAGAGCACAGAGACATTGCAGCCAGTTGATACAACGCTGAACTGGAAGGAAAGAAACAAGGATTATACTACAAGTTCATCACTGAGATCTGCTGTATGGAGACCTTTCACTTCTCCAAGTCTTTGTTCCCCCACCTACAGGCAAGATGACAGCACACTTTGTATAGCACTAAGTCAAAAGAAAGGGTTGTTATTATATAGGCACAATTATCATTATTCTTAGTTGCTATAAGCCTCTATCTAGACTCTATTGCAGTTCATTGCTGCATCCTGTGACATAAAAATGGAGAATAAGATTTTCCAAAAGTGATTAGTGACTTGGGTTTTCTCAAGTTGTCATTGTCAGTTTGAGATGTCTCAGAAAACCTATTCTCGGATACTCAATACTTCCTGAAATTAAAGTGTCTCAAGGTTGGTATCCCAAAATAGAGATTTACAAAACCATGAGCTACTTACAACAATGACCAAAGCTGATGAGTAAATACGGATTTATGCCTAAACTTTAGGCTACCTGAGATTAATTTAGGGCTAAGTTTATAAACTGCTATTCAATGGTTGTGAACTTCTCCAGAAAGAGAGGAGAGCCGAGGAAGAGTTTATCTATTAGAAAATTCTCCGTGGCCCTTCTAAAAATGACAAACTGTGTGTGTTATTCTCCAGTGAGGAAGTTTGGAGCAGCTTGAAATAAACATCAAAGCTAGTTAGAGAAAACGTATTTGAGGCCGAACTGTCCATCAGAAAGACTTCTTAGAAATCGGATCCTAATGTAGGGTGCCCTCTCATCACATTTTAACAGTCTGCCAATGTCTTTTTCAATAACACAGGTGATTCATTTCTTTCTTATTATTTGTCTTTCCTAATCATAGGTATGTGAATTATCAATTACATTTAGTGGTTAATTGCCCTTCATAAAGATAGCTTTTCTATTTTAAATTAGGCAGTTAATATATTGTAACTAATAGCATCCACTTGTACATTATAAATATATCTTCATTGATTGGTGCAGTGAATGTGAGATTCACTCACAAGTTAATGAAGCAATTGAGTGAAGAAGTGCAGGGTGTACCCAGGGAATAATTATTGTTAATGAATTATGATGTGACCTTCTCAGAACAATGAACAATTGGTGTGACAGTTAGATGACAGTATTTTGCACCTGTTATTCCAAAGATGGTTTTAGATGTAGTTAAAAGGCAAAACAACACATTCTAAATACACAAGTAACTTTAGGGAGTGTGTCATGTGTAAAACAATTTTGTTTTAAATGAAAATGATATCATCACATTCTTAGGGAAAAGCTCACGCATGGTTCATGAGTACCTGCACCGTGGTTGTAAGATGAATAAGAGTCTTCTATTTAGCTCCTTAAAGGTTAATAGAACGAACTGTGGAACAAAGTAAACCTATACAAACTGTATGCACAAAAGACAACCCTCTCACAGGTTTGAATGAATCCAATAACGTTTATTAGATGGCTTACAGAAAATGAATACTTTTTTTTCCTCTTAGCCTTCAAACAAACCATCGCTCCTTTTAGAACAGTAGTTTTCAACCTGTTTCAATTGTTGACCCTTAAAAAATTCTGAATGGAGATATGGTCCCCTTTGGAAATTTCGAATGGAGGAGAGGACCCCTTTGAATTGTAAATGTGGGCATCCACATACTTTTGATTGATCAGAGTCGTCTGTCATGGATCTCTTAGACATGGTCTGCAGACCCCCAGAGGTCTGCAGACCACTGTTTTAGACTATTAGAAGGAAAAACACAGCTACGCTTATTAAACAAATGACCATACTGTAGGCAATCAGACTATATCCAACAATACTTCTATCAACCTCATATGTTGGTGAGTAGTAACATTTGTTGTCTCATGATTAATTAGAGTAGAGACCAACCAAACACATCTTAATATTTATATCGCCAGAAGAAGACATGGGATTCTACAGACCATAGGATAAATTCTGCAAAGAACTGAGTAATTTGGTCAGAAAACAGGCCTTTTTCACGGATCATTTTAATGAAAAAAGAAACAAACAAAAAATCTCCAAAATTATTTTGGTGAGAAAATACAAAACTAAACATTTTGATTCAGAAATGCTGCCATAATATATCATGGTAGGTGTCCACTTTTGTGTCCCTCTTCTCTATTACAGGCTGGACTTCCTGGTCAGAGACTACATTAAAGTCAAGTCAGTGTTTCGGGTTTTGGCCCCAAGATAAAAACTAAAAAGTTGCCAGGTTTCTGCTGTTCAGTTTTTTAAACAAAAAAAAATCTAAATCTGTTACAAAAAGAGCTTTTTATGATTTTTTTAAAACTATTTTAATAAAAAAAACCATCTACCTTTGAAAAAGTTTTCTGAAGGAATTTGGTTTTTTTTTTTAATAGTCCTAAGCTCTCTTGTCCCAGTTTAACTTCTAATGCTAAGAAGCTCCACTACTGTCATGGTAGTTGTTAACAGCATGCGCACAGTGGGAGGGATTTTTTTTTGAATGTTCATTTTAGTGAGTATTCACTGACTGATGACTTTGTCTCTAGCTATTGCAGATATCAACTGTGACAATTAAAAAAGGCTGGACTTTACAGACATTCCACTCAAGGAGTCCCACTCAAGTCAACTGTGAAACTTCTTTTGGGTTTTCATGGAACAAGGAAATCAATCACCTGTGGAGTTGCTGAAGGTCTGTATTTGTTGAACCCAAGATGCCATGCAAAGTGAATGAATACTACATTTGAAGTCACTGCCCCTTGGCAGGCAAAGAGAAATGAGAAACGGTGTGGTACCACGTTAGTTCAGCAATCAGCGATCAAAAGTTCTAAGACCCTGCCCTAAGGCATGTTACAGTGATCTTTAGGGCCAGCAAGTTTGTGGGATCTCGGAGGCAAGAGAAAGTAGGATAAAAGTAACGATCAATTTGATGTACGATAACATTTCTACACATTCAACCATACTATTTACAGAACAACCCATTCAAGAATTTACCTTGGTATAAAGGTATTAAACCTTCCATTAATAAAATGGAACATACTACAGAACACTTTTGCAACATTTATAGCTGAATTATAATTATTGGTGCTACAGTGGCATGCAGAAAAGTCCAATCAAAGGCTGCAAGTATGTCACATACATCATAACTATGACAATGGTTTGATTTAAACTTAAAAGATGCCGGACCTCAAAACTGATGTGCGTTCAAGCTGTGCACACAAACAAGCAGCAGGTCTTTAATTATGTCGTACCACGAACAGCTTGGACATTTTTGACACTTTCTGTGGATATTTTGAGACTGCTTTTCTTACATGGGTTTTGAGTGTGGGGAGTTTCCTTGTCACATGACACGAATCATATTTTCCTATTTGACCAGTTCTGGTTTTGATCACCTGTGTGTGGAAACTGCAGAACTCGAATTCTGCCTCCAAGTGCCAAGTGAAGTTTTAACAGAGACAATCTGGGTGCTCTCCTTTCAGAACATGAATGGCTGCAAACTCAAACTCTTTCTAGCGCAAAACTAGACGCTCAGGTGCCTTCCAAAGCTCACTGGAAGGATCTGTACAAAGCCGATAGGACTACTCAAAATTATATAGAAATGTCACAGCTCTATGCTACATATTTAATCTTGCAAATAATTATTATATTTATGTGGAAGGAAGTATGTTGGAGAAGCAGGTTTTAATTTAATGTGCATTACTAAATAAAACATCGAATCACAAAAGAAATCTCTATGTCAAAAAACCTATAAAGCGGTAAATTAGTAAAGAACTAAAAAAACCAAACAGGTGGG